CCATCAGTCCAGTTTATTTATCTGAAAAGATGATCTTTATCTCATGACCCCATTGTTGTTTCAGTCATGAGACAAGTGTGCTATGTGTAACCTAAATGCAGATTGAGCTTAATATTGTTTACTCTGCAAAGCATGTTTGAAAGGGGCACATGTGATTCCTGAAATTCTTTCCTTACATTACTTTTGGACTACTTGCCCCCAAAAAATTGCACTTTCCATAATCTTTAAATATGGGCTGCTTATCTTATTTCTGATCTGTAAGAATTTGTATAATGCCTGCTGGAATGATACATCTTCAAATAGAAGGGGCTACAGTTTGAAGAACCATGGAGAATTTAATGTCAAGCTTAAATAATTGACCCTAACATAAATTTATATTTGAATCCATATAATCCACTGTATTCATTGGTCAGCATTTTTGTAGAAAGTTGTTTACAAATGCTGTCTTAGTTGGATTTTCAGAAGTTATAGTTTCAAATGATAAATATTTTTCAGTCACTGAATTAATCTGTGGTTTCCACTTTTTTTTAAAGGAGTATAAAGGAGGCAATGAAGCTCTCAAAGGAAAAAGTAGGGTAAGATACATAGGCGCAGCTGAAAGCCCTATATTTCCTTCTTTTCACTTTGAAATTAACATTAACTTTAAAATAAATCCCTATTAGCTCTTTGGGAATATCATTCTAGCATCCATACTTTCCTGCTCAGAATGTAGATTTTTTTTAAAGAACATCTAATAAATACACGAGTTGTACAATTCTTGCATCAGTTTACCAGATCTTGATTTAACAAACTCTGGATTCAGTGAAACAAATTTCTGCTGTGGTTTGTGTCATTGGTGTAATGACGTCACACAAATGATGTAAATCTCCACAATGCCTTCTGTTTAATTCAGTAAGATCCCTGAATAATGGACACCACTTTCCCTCAATTAGTCTGTCCAAGCAAGGTTTCATTGTAGTTTGTTAGAACATAGTACTAGTCTTTTTATCTCTAACTATGGTCATGGTCTGATTAAATCTAGAAGGTTAATATTGTAGTAATAAACCAGATATATGTAAACCTTGGCCACTGGTATGCCCACCAACATGTTCCTTGGTGCTCACTAAGCTTCCTTCCTTGCCTAATTTTATATTTTTAGATTCTTTTAATTGAAAAAAACTGAATGAGAACCATCAGCCTCAAGAACAACCCATTTTTCCATTAATGCCTCTGCCCCCCATATAAATCCCAGAGGTGTTCTTAGAAAATAAAATGGTAAGTGGCTGTGCCCAGAGAATTATTGCTAATGAGTGTTTTAAAAGTGGCAACTTTTGCCATGGCAACCTTTTATAGGGTCCCCATATCTTGTTCTCAAAATTCTACATGTGTCTACTGACCCCAAATAGTTGATGACTTCTGCTCTAAATACTTGTAAGCAACACCTTAGTGTAACTGAAATCCATATTTCATTCTTCATCAGTTTATTAAAATTGAAGCACTTTTGAGTCAAATTTAGCTCCTACTGACATCATAAATCCATATATGTATTTTTTCTTGTCAGTAAGATTGAATGACTGCGTTGTAACCTACCTTTCATTCAGAAGCTCAAGTTGGCATAAATAGCCCTCCCTTTTGTTTTTCAACACAAGAACCTTGTGAGGTAGGTTGGGCTGAGAGAGGGTGACCTAGTAACTTTCTTTGGCTGTGGGTGGACTAGAGCAGTCTCCCTGCTTCTAGTCTAACACCCTTAACCACTACACTATACTCCTTCTTTCATGATGTTTATTTTGATTTCCCAGCCTAGTCGACAGCCCTGCTGTTTCCTGGTGATTTCCCATCGAGGTATTAAACAGGTCTGAAACTGCTTAGCTTTTCAGATTAGCCAAAGTCTGTTAGGTTAGCTATGTATTTGTGTAAAGACTGTGCATATGCATAGTCTGTGACCTATAAATAAGTGTTTGAAATTACATTAGACATGAAATGTGTGGTAATTCCTTCTTAATAACATTCCCATTAGATTATCAGCATATAGGTTAAAGAGGAGTTGTAGAATAGAAAAGTATCATCCTAAAGCAAATGAATGTTGCCTCTTAAACATAACTTTCTGTAGCAACTGGTGATGGCTGTGATGATGATGATGAAGAGACAAAGCAAAGAAAAGAGAAACAGAGGCAAAGGGATAGAATGCGTGACCGTGCAATGGACAGGTAATTAAAACATATAAAAATTGGTTTAAAGCAGAGATGCATAAGAGTTGTACTTAGCTAGCTACATATCAAAATCTAGTGGGTGGGGTCAAGACAAAAATTTAAACCAATTTATATGTAAAGATAAACGTATAAGTACATATCAGTAATTATTCTCAAGTTATGTATTTAATAATTTATCCTTTTTATAGTATTTGTTGACAATTATTGAGGCCTTTGCGGTTTATATCCAAGTTTTTGTGGTATATATGCAAACCTGGAACCTGAGGTTGTGTGCTTCTTTGGTATAAAAATATTTATTTTAATATCATTAAAATTTCATATGATTAGATATCACTTTAAATCTAGCTTTTAAATTTAAGATATAATGGAGGATATCTGTGTCATTGCAAGTTTATTCATTTAAGTGAACCGGCTATGTTTCTATTTAATGAGTTCCTACAAATAAAGCAGTTTTATTTACAGTACAGTTTTTTGTGCTTTCCAACTCAGAATAAATTGGAGGACTTAATGTTTAAAATATTGCCTTTTGAATGTTTAGAAAATTCAAAAAGATTAATACATAGTGTGATTTCGAAAATATATATTCTTGGAATGGGAGATGCAAAGATGTATGTTGTCAGGTACAACAGTAAAAGCATCAGAGTGTCTTTGTTGTCTTAAGCAATGGGAAAGGACAGACTGTAGGGGTGTGCAAAACAGTCTGAGTTTGATAGTTTCAAACATTCTAACTTTCTAAGTTCCCATTCAGAAGAAAACACCCTGGGTTGTTTAGTTATGATTTCTGTGATTCACATACAACATTGGTACCTATACCATTATTTCCTTAGAATGTTCCTGTGCTTGAGATTTTGGAGGGAGCTCTTTCTTGTCACAGCATTCTGTATGGGGCTCCTGCCAACTGCCAACTCTCTTCTGAGTGCAACAATGGTACTATGTTAGTTGTTCATTTTCATATTTTTGAGCGTTTTGCTTGGCATTTATGACCTTCCCTGCCTCTGTTAGAAAGTGTCACAGTTGTGGAAGCAGGCTTCCTACTTTGGATGGGCAATTTTTGTGTCATCTTTACCCCACTGAAGGTAATTGCGGAGGATTATCCTTTCTGTAAGGTCTTCGTAACACAGGCCTATTGCAATTGTGGATGTTCTACAACTGGACTCTGAATACCACAGATGCATCCAGAACAGCATAACTGAACTCATTTGCTGCGTTTGTGTTCTAGTAATACCAAGCCCAGCTGTGGCTAGACTATGTAGCAAACCTTCACTAAGCCTATTACAGGCAGTAATTTGGCAGGAACCCCCAACTCAAGGCAGATCACTAGATAAGCAGTTTTCTCACAAATGGAGGAAGATAACCATAGTCCATATCCCAAAAGAACAACAACAACTGAAGACACAAGTCTTGGGCCTCTCCCTTTGGTATCATTCGAGGCACTGCTACTCCTGGTAACTTCCCCACTGGTGTCTTTGGTACTTGCCACATCCTTTTTGCTACCTACAATGTTTCTTCTGAGATGCCAGTTAAGGAGCTACTCTAACTGTATTTTTGTACCAGAAGTACAGTGGTACCTTGGTTCATGAACTTAATTCGTTCCGCGACTCTGGTCGCGAACCAAATTGGTCGTGAACTGAATCAAATTTTCCCATAAGGTTCAAAGTAAATACGGTTAATCCGTTCTGACCCCTCCGAATTTGGTCGACAACCGATTTTTGATCGCATCCCGAATCAAATTTCCCCATAAGGTTCAATGTAATTACGGTTAATCCGTTCTGAACCATTTTTTTTTTTTTTTAAACCGCAAAAATATGACACAAAGTACAGCACGAAGAGAGAGAAAGCTAACCTTGCTTGACACGACTTCTGGCGTGGAGGACAGGAAGGCGGGTGGGGAGGCGGATATTGCTTGGAGGGAGAGTCCCCCTCCCTACAGGAAGCCGCGACCACGTGTCACGGGAGGGAAAATGGCCGCGGATCCTGTTTGTAACCCGATCCGGCATTCGCAAATGGAGGCAAAATTTTGCGAACGGAGCTGTTCGTGAACCGAATTGTTTGTGAACAGAAGCGTTCGTGAACCAAGGTATTACTGTACAACAGTTGAATCTGTTTCCAAAAGTGAGATTAAAAACCTTACTGCCCTGCAGTGTTCGTCATGATGTTCATCTTTTTCTAGGTTATTAGACAGCAAAAGCAGATCTTTTAAGCAGCTTAGTCTGTTCTATTGTTTTCTTTTGGATGCTACTCAGCAACCATAATTGTTTCATGAGATACACAATCCCTGCAT